TTTTTTCCTTTATTATTTCTTTTAGATAGAGTGGGGCCCTAAGCTATTGGTTGTTTATCTTATATGTAAATCCAGCACTGCCACAGGATGAGAGTGGTAAAGTTCAAGTATTGTTCATAATAAACAGAACCTGAGCTCTAGTTTCCTTATTGCCTTGTTTATAATGCAAAAGGGCAACCTGTTAGTTTAGTAAAGGTGAAAATAGACATTAGCAGCTTAATGTGCAGCGAGGTCATTTTCAAGTCGCATTAGCATATCTGCTTACAGTAACTGCTGTTTTCAAATGGGATGGCAGCTGGTTTGAGAAGAAAGCACATCAGACGAGTATTTCTACAGGTTACACATGGATTGGGGCTAGCATCATGTGCAAATGGCTTCAAACACCATTGGTGGGAGCCCACTGGAGTCAGAGTAAATGGTTAAGTGTACACAGCCATGGTAATCCTGAAGCAGGGTTTCACACTGAGGTTATTGCTACAAACATTTTTAGTAGCGCCTGCTGAACATTCCTCCACTCTAGTTTCACCCAACCTTGCATTTTTATGTTCTTCTCTCTCACAGACACGTTCCATGTTCTCATTCTCCAGTCGTATTTGATGCAATTCATGTTTATTTTGTATGTAGTCAAGTATAAAAAGCAGCATATAAAGGAGCCCTTAGAGCCATTTCTGAAAACACTTCTGTCTACTTGTCTGTAGGGCAAGTGGAAATTGTGTTTTTCAGTAAGGATTTTTTACATGGGAAAAATACAGAGTCGACCTATGGAAATGAATGCATATATTTCTATCTACATAAAGAAGTAATGCTGTCATTGTATAGCCCCCATTGGTGCCACATCCGCCGAGACCATATAACACCGGTCTTGAAAGACCTACATTGGCTCCCAGTACGTTTCCGAGCACAATTCAAAGTGTTGGTCTGACCTTTAAAGCCTTAAACGGCCTCGGTCCAGTATATCTGAAGGAGCGTCTCCACCCCCATCATTCTACCCGGACACTGAGGTCCAGCACCGAGGGCCTTCTGGCGGTTCCCTCACTGCGAGAAGCCAAGTTCCAGGGAACCAGGCAGAAGGCCTTCTCGGTAGTGGCGCCCGCCCTGTGGAACGCCCTCCCACCAGATGTCAAAGAGAACAACAACTACCAGACTTTTAGAAGACATCTGAAGGCAGCCCTGTTTAGGGAAGCTTTTAATGTTTGATGTATTACAGTATTTTAATATTTTTTTGGAAGCCGCCCAGAGTGGCTGGGGAAGCCCAGCCAGATGGGCGGGGTATAAATAATAAATAAATTATTATTATTAATATTATGCATGATGTCAGAGTGTGGCCTCCATTGAAGGATTTATCGGGTCTCATCACAATCCTGGAATTGTGTAGAGGTTGAATGCAGGTGAGCTGTGCAGAAGCACACTGGCAAGCATGCTCCAAACAAGCTGCTGACTAGCTCTTGAGAGGCTCCTTTTATTAGCAGAAGTCAACAATTGGAAACACTAGTGAAACCACCCTGAACATGACGTATTTCCATCTAAGCACATTTCCAGCATTAGCAAATACACGTGTTAGCAGGTGTTTCCCTGAAATGTTCCTCGATACTTGATTACATCTGTGTCCCTGGTCATGCTCCAGCCAAGCGTTATGTCTAGTAAACAAATCTGTGAGAGGACAAACGGTCAGGGTGAAAACCCTGTTTTCTAGCCAAGAAGGCAAAAGGTCAGCAGGTGCAACGCTCCTTGATATGCTGTTGCATGTCTGGTTCGAGGTTTGCCTTCGCAAAGCGGAGCGTTACCTCCACAGAATTGCATGAAATAAGAGAGAATGCCATTATTTTGTTCTTTGGGCTTTAATATGTACTACAAATTATTGGCCAGCCACTTCCAGATCCATGCAGGAACATTTCTTATCATCTGAAGAACACAGCTGATTGAAAAACAACACTTATCTAGTCACTGGCTGCGTTTGCAAGAACAAAGTCCAAATGCCACACCTGCTTCCCAAACTCTCCCTCCTCCCATGGACCACTTGCTGGACAGGTCTTAACAGACTAGTTATTTATTTATTTTTATTTATTTACTTAGGGTTTTTTGCTGCCTGTTTCAGCAATCGTAATGCACTGAGCTGCATATTTGTGGTGGGATTCACTGTCACGCTATTACAGACATGCTTCCTGCACAAGCATTGCAGCTTGCTGGAGGGAACAATCTCTTTTCCCCTCCTCCCATGTGCTGTCCTTGGGAGTTCTCCTGACTCCCTCTCCCCGAACCAGTTGCAGGTGGTGTGGGGGTATGTGCGTAAAGAGAGGAGGCAAAGCCTCATTGCCTAGGCGGAAGTCCTTGTTTAGGGCTTCTGCTGTTGCGGTGTGTTGGGTGAATCCCACCCTACATGATTGTTAATCTGTGTGTGTGTGCGTGCGCGCGCACACACACACACACACACTTCATTCATATTTGATTGCAATTTGAATTCTGTTGAAATAAAAGAAGCAATAAAAAGACAACTTGAAATATAAATACTTAATGTGGTGGGTGTGTCATTGCCTGTCTTTAACCGCAAACCCACAAACCACAGGAATGAAGTCTGGGATCACCTGATCCATAGGAGCCAACTCCTAGGGGCCCCCATGATAAAATATTTGAGAGGGCTGCCCACCAAGTTGATGGGCATTGCCATTCAAATGGTGTGTGTGCACTGCATCATGTGACTGATTATGCAGACTGAGGCTTACCTGGGCCCCCACAATATTTTATTCAAGTTGACACCCCTGTCCTGATCTAGCCACTTGATAGGGAAACAAATGGTAATATGTAGACAGACTATGTTTTTTAAATAATAATGATGATGGTGTACAACCAGACCAAGATACAGCCTTTTAAAGAACAGAAATACATTTCAAGAGAGGGGCTGTGACAACGAAGCGTCTTGTGGACTGAAAGCGTAACAATTTTTTAATGGCAATTTTTTGTGAAGCGGAGTCCACTTAATCAAATGCATAGAATATTATTTATCTATCTATTTATTGAAAGCATAAATAAAGTGCTAAATTATTTTTTTAAGGAAACCCCTCTAATCTGTGTGCAGCATTAAAACAATAAACCAGGGGGCAGTGGCGTAGCGTGGGTTGTCAGCACCCGGGGCAAGGCAAGTAATTTGCGCCCCCTCTGCCCTAGGGGCAGAGAGCTGCGAGTGCGAGCGCCCCCCCCAGATGTTGCACCCGGTGCGGCCGGCCCCCCTGCACCCCCCATGCTACGCCACTGCCAGGGGGCGACAACCTAAGGCCCATGGGCCAGTAGTGTGGCTGAAACCAAAACTGACCAATATAGTAGTACCTCGGGTTAAGTACTTAATTCATTCTGGAGGTCCATTCGTAACCTGAAACTGTTCTTAACCTGAGGTACCACTTTAGCTAATGGGGCCTCCTGTTGCCGCGGCGCAATTTCTGTTCCCATCCTGAAGCAAAGTTTTTAACCCGAGGTACTATTTCTGGGTTAACGGAGTCTGTAACCTGAAGCATCTGTAACCTGAAGCGTCTGTACCCTGAGGTACCACTGTATTTTAATGACCAGAATAGAGTGAAAGATTAGTCATGGCCAGGGCCGGATTTAGGTTTGATGAAGCCTTAAGTTACTGAAGGTAATGGGGCCCTTTATATGTCTAGCTGTCCTTTGTCAACAACAAATTATCTGTTTTTTTGTGTGTTGAATATATGTTATATGGTAATTTATGGACCTATCCATGCAAGCAGTCCATGCAGAATGTAGGCACCCTATATATAGAAATGAGCAAACCAGTGATATTTTAGGGAGCAGGTTAGCAGGTGGGCTCATTACTTACATCATAGGAGCCTACACAACACAAAACACTGCTGCTGTATGTAGGTTTTATTTTATTTGTTTTTTATCTTATATTTTGGAAATGTACATGCAGCTTTTTTAAAGGTTTTTTTTGGGGGGGCAAGAGAGTGGGGCCCTAAGCTATAGCTTGTAAATCTGGCACTGGTCATGGCAGCAAGGAGAATGTGTGTATGAATTTAGCAGTGCTTAATTTATTTTTTTAGTTGCTGTCCTCTTAATGTTGTTAATACTGTTTTATTGATTACAAATGTCATATTGATTTGTCGCTCATACAATCTGACTTTTGCTCTAATTGTGGTTTATCTTATTTTTTTTAAGTTGCTGCTTTGTTAACAGTGTTTTATAGATCGCAATTGTTTTATTGATGACTTGTGAATTATTTTATATGATGTTCTGCTATGTTCTTGTTGTTTATTGTTTGTAATCTGCTTTGGAATTCATTTGAACAAAAAGCGGGATAGAAAGACAATCTAGGTAATTTGTTGGCTGCAAATTTTGGTGGGGGGGAAATGTCTGCTTCTCTGAAAGGGAAGCATTATCTGTCTTCCTAACATGCTGCTGTCAGAGGGAAATGTCACTGTTAAAGGGAGCCTTTTGCAGCAGGAGTTTGCAATGTATGAAAGAACCTGAAACGTCTAAGATAAGCAGTCAGGTCATACTTGGACTAGAACCAACTCAAACCTAACGAAAGCAACTCAGCTACGCTTGGCAAAGAAAAAGCGCTTTATATGCGTTGAATTCCCTGGAAAAGACCCTCATGTTAGGAGAGACCCTGATGTTGGGAAAGATGGAGGGCACAAGGAGAAGGGGACGACAGAGGACGAGATGGTTGGACAGTGTTCTCGAAGCTACCAGCATGAGTTTGACCAAACTGCGGGAGGCAGTGGAAGACAGGAGTGCCTGGCGTGCTCTGGTCCATGGGGTCACGAAGAGTCGGACACGTCTAAACGACTAAACAACAATGCGTTGAATACGCATTCTAACACTGTGACACCAGATGGCGCCGTGGAGTTCTATTTTTGCCAACCCGATTTCTCATTCAATGTTAACGACGGGTTTAACCAAAACGCTTCTTTGATGTGTCTAGATCCAGTCCAGAACACGTCCTCGAGATGTGAAACAAAGGGGATGGGGTGAAAGTGGGTAGCCTAAATGATGAATTCCCTTATTTCCGGGAGGGTGGACTCATTGAATTTAATCCCTCATACAAGAAGTGAAAGCACTTCTCCGTGTTTTCCTTTGGTTTCGTTTTGCGTGTGCCCCGTTGCTTCTTGCTGCTGGCTCATAAGCGGGGATTGTATGCTTCTTGATGCTCGCGCTTTCTACTTCTCAGGTAAGGCTTTTCCCAGTGGTGTTTTTTTTGGCTTCGGTCGCCCGTTTGAGAAAGCTGCAAAGGTCTTGCGAGGCTGGAGCGAAATCGAGTTCCTCTTGCAACGACAGCGCTTAGAAACCGGAGTGGGAGAATCCGATCCAGGCTGCGTGGCGTCAAGAATCGGGTCATAGCTGTCAACGTTTCCCTTTTTTTAAGGGAAATTCCCTTATTCCGAATAGGATTCCTCGCAAGAAAAGGGAAAAATTGACAGCTATGCTGAGGGTGCCTACTAGAGGGTGTGCTTCGGGATGAACGCTGTCCGCTTTCCTTTAAATCCAAAACAGATTCTGGATTGGGAGCCGGGGAGCTGCGGGGGACAGCAGAGTCGCTTTCCCTTGCCAGCCATTTCCCTACTCAAAATCGCCTCCAGGTGCAGTTTAAGAATGCCTGGAGTGTACTCGCTGTATGCCAGTATAGATTTCGGCTCAGTTGCTGTTGTTGTTTCGTCGTTTAGTCATGTCCGACTCTTCGTGACCCCATGGACCAGAGCACACCAGGCACTCCTGTCTTCCACGGCCTCCCGCAGTTTGGTCAAACTCATGCTGGCTCAGTTGCATCTTGTGGCAAATCCGTTCGGCTCTGCTGTACACAACGGAGTTCCCCTTTCCCAAGAACTAATGCACAGCTTAGCTATTGATTGAGTTTCTTCTAGAGAAACATAGTTGGCAGGGAATGGGGGGTGGGGTTCAGGAAGAAAGTGATTGGACGCCTTAACAACTCTCTCCCCCACCCCCGTTCCCAAAGTAATGCAAAACAGTTTATCCGGAAGGGATGCTTCTTGTTTTTTTGTTTTTGTAACGTGACAGTTTTGCCCCTTAGGGTGCAAATACTGACCATGGAGTGGTTGGTATTCACATCAGCTTGACTTAGAGTTGACCCATTGAAATGAACGTGTCTGACTTAATTATGCTCATTAATGTTAATAGCTGTACCCTGAGTTTGAAGACAACATCCTTTGATGGATGGATGGGAGTGCCCATCTCCTAAATGAAAGGGTTTCTTTTCCTGAAGCCTTTTATTTGCCCTGTAGGGCAAAGCCTAGCCAGTTATTATAAGGAGGCTGCTGAAGAGCATACTCTCCATTACATAAGGAGTTTTGTTTACGTGGGAATGACTTATCTGACTTTGTACCTGGATCAAACTGGACTTGATGGTAATGATACAAAGGTTGTGAGCCATCCGCAATCTCTGCCCAAGATCCCATGTGGTTCCAGGAGCTCACCCAGGGTCGTGTTTCCATTGAGAACGAAACGCAGTGGAGGCTGCAGTGTCTTTAAGAAATATGACTTAATTACACATTTTTATACCTGAGTTTTTAGGGACGCGGGTGGCCCTAGGACTTGCCGATCAGAAGGTCCGCAGTTTGAATCCCTGCGACAGGGTGATCTCTCGTTGCTCAGTTCCTGCTCCTGCCAACCTAGCAGTTTGAAAGCACATCAAAGTGCAAGTAGATATATAGGTACCTCCCCGGCAGAAAGGTAAATGGCGTTTCCGTGTGCTGCTCTGGTTTACCAGAAGCGTCTTAGTCATACTGGCCACATGACCCAGAAGCTGTATGCCGGCTCCCTCAGCCAATAAAGCGAGATGAGCGCCGCAACCCCAGAGTCGTCCGCGACTGGACTTCATGGTCAGGGGTCCCTTTACCTCTGCACCTGAGTTTAGATGAAGATGGTGCAGATCTTACAGCACTGTCATCTCAAGAGCCCTTTTCTTTATCTAATTGTTGTTGCTGGGTTGGGAGAGTCTGGTTGTTTGTGTGCTTATTGCTGTTCAGCACTCAACAGAAGATCTCTCTCTCTTCATCACGGTAAAAATCAGATTGGCCTTGGATGGCCAACAGATCCATATGCTGATCTTGCAGACAAGGCGGCACTGTCCAGAAGAGCTAAAACTGAGGGACTGTAATGGAGGGAGGATGGACTTGTTACATGTAGTTAGCAAATGTTTGCTTTAACTGATTAACATTTAAATTAATTCCCCCAGATTACAGCTCTGCATTTTCCTTGTACATATCCCCGTTTCCTTTTAAAAAATAAATCAGCTCAAGTTGTTCAGCTTTTAAAAAATAATGGAGAGGAGGAGTAAGACAACTTCCCTCTAATGTTCTACCATAAAAAATAAGGCTTCTGCCTCTCTCAATATTCCCATGCAATCTTACAGAGTTGCCTCACTCCATTAGACTGCATAGGAGGTATAGATACAGATGGAATCCCCCAAACCCAATGGAGACAAAAGTGCTCACCTCTTGCAGACAAGCCATGGGACACCCCCATACCTCATGCAGAGTTTCAGGGGTGCATCCTCTTTACTACCATGGGCCTGGACTTTTTCGAAGCTTGTGAATGGGGCTGCAAACCTAGAGGGTGGAATTTGGGGCCAGCATCAGTTTTCACTATATTTCATGCACTTTGTGGAATTTGTCTTTCAGTTTTATGTTCCCAGAAACAGCATTTTTTTTTTTTAACATCTTTGATTTTTCAAGTGGCTTTGTTTCTTAACTTCCTTCCTTAACAAGTAACATGCCTCTCTCCTGAGGTTTGACTTGTGGTTAACTGAACAGCATTAATCCTTCGTGTCCATGCCTGCCAAAATTAATTCCTGTTTTGATTCGGTTTCATTTTCTTCATCTCCTAAGGCTTGGCTAAGGACCCGACCTGAAAGCAAGGGCCGTAGGTAAATTGTAGATCAAGGTCCCTGGTTCAATCCCTGACATCTCCATGTAGGGAATGTGCCTGATCTGAATCCATGGAAAGCCACTGCCAGTCAGTGCAAACAACATTGAGTTAGATGGAATAATTGTTTTATTCAGTATGAGGCAGCTCCCTATGTTTCCTATGCTGGTGGGTGTTTGTTTATTATTTATTTAATTTATATACCACCATATACCCAGAGGTCTCAGGGCATTTCACAGAACAAAATCAAAATATAAAACCACAAAATAAAAAATAAAAATAAAAACAACAGCCCAATAACTGCCCCCCCAAAAAAACATTTTAAAAGGGCATCAGATGTTAATTAAATCAGTCAAATGCCTGGTGTTCCAGAGGTCGGTCAGGGCTTCAACAGGGGTGCTAGTCATATCAGCCAGAAATCCCCTCAGAGCCATTTCGAATCCCACTTGACCCATCAGCCTCCGAGGGCTAATAGATCCCCTGCCTCTGTGGAGGGGAGAAGGTGCTGATAACCTAGCGTATTTTTCGCTCTATAGGACGCGCTTTTTCCCCTCCAAAAATTAAGGGGAAATGTGTGTGCGTCCTACAGAGCGAATTCAGGCTGCGCGGCTAAGCGCAAGGCCAGAACAGGGAGACAGAGCGCTGTGCAGCTCTCTGTCTCACTGTTCTAGCTTGGGGTTAGCTGCACAAAGCCTCTGCAGGGCAGCGGGATGAAGGCACCCCGCTGCCCTGCGGAGGCTTCAAAGGCTGTCCCCGAAGCAGCCAGGAACACCCACACACCCGACTGGACAGAGAGTTTGGAGATGGAGAGACTCTACAGACCACAGCAACTCCTCCTCCTCGACCCTTGAGCCTGGCCTGATGCTGTACTGAGTACCCAGGTGGACACAGCTGGGTGAGACCGACTCCACCCTGTTCACCCACCCAGGTTTCAGTGATACATGCCAGATCAGCCTCCTCATCCATAATCAGATCATGGATGAGGGAGATTTTATTCTGGGCAGACCTGGCATTCAACAGCAGCAGTTGCAGACCCGAGGGCTGGCTGATATGACAACAACAATTCCCTAGATTGAAGGGGTGGGTGGACTGGCACACGGCATGGTCACTAACTGCCTGTGCCATGTGCCCCTTACCTGGCCTGCCCCTCCTCCCACGCCATACCTCCCTCTACCCAGTGGTGAAGCTGCATGCTCCACTACTGGGGGCGGAGAGCAGGCAGGGGCGTGGCTGGCACCCCCGGGGACGTGGCACGCCTCCCAGGGGCGTGGTACGTGGGGGCAGTGCGCAGTGCGTGTCCAGGGGGGCTGCCACGATAGCAACCTACCGAAATAGTGGTGCTGGGGGCGGTCTGCTCCCTCTGCACTCCTGTTCCTCCGCCAGTGCCTCTATCCGCAACCACTTTTATTGGGTCTCTCCCCCCCCCCGGCCCGCTCTCCCCTGCTCCTCTCCTCCCAGGCACATCCCACAAAATGCCCTTACAACTCAGTTAAAAGCAGTTAAAACACTTAAAAAAACCTTTAAAGGATATAAAAAACAATTTAAAAGCAATTTAAAAGAAGAAGCCCTCTCTGCTGAGCAGCGGCAGCAGCAGCCGTCCTTATAGAACCTGTCAGGACCCACCCTGGGCCAGGTGGATAGAGGCAGGAGCAGGACCCTATGGCTCTCAGCAGGGTTTTAAGCAATAGCTGGGCTGGGGAGGAGCCAGATTAGGTTTGTGGCATGGGAAGCCTTTAACTGGGTTGTGGGGTTTTTTTGCCCTGAATACAGATTAGGTGTTGTTTTTTTTGCCCTGAATACAGTCCCCAATCAGAATTTGACTCTGCCCCTACTGCTCTGGCATTTTCCTTTTATAAGGAATAGCAAGTGCACAATTTGATCCAGCTACACAAGACCAAACTGAGTGGCAAACCTCACAATCAGAATAATGTACAGTGGTACCTCGGGTTGGAAGTCTGTTCTTAACCTGAAACTGTTTTTAACCTGAGGTACCACTTTAGCTAATGGGGCCTCCCACTGCCACCATGCCACCACCACTCTATTTCTGTTCTCATCCTGAAGCAAAGTTCTTAACCCGAGGTACTATTTCTGGGTTAGCGGAGTCTGTAACCTGAAGCGTCGGTAACCTGAAGCATCTGTAACCCGAGGTACCACTGTATATAGGATTGTTCCTAACCAGGTTCAGTCACAGAGGTCAAGCGGGCATAAAAACCCAAAGCTGGCCTGTTCAGTTTTTGTTTCTGTTTCGATTTTTGGTCATTTGCCCAAAAATGTCAAGGACAAAGGCCAGGATTTCCTGCACAACATATCTTTAAAAAAATGCTGTGCACTTTCGGAGCTGGGCTCCACCTCTGGACCTCTGCCATGGCTCCTTCACCTCTCTGAGGACCTCAGTTCAAGGATGGGAATTTCCTGATTTGGTGTTTTCATGCATCTTATCGTTTGTATTTGTATTACCGGGTGGAATCTCCCTTTCAGTTCTTAGATAGTTTGAGAGCAGAGTTTGCCGTGATGTGACCTAGAGATAAAGCTGCAGGCTGGAGAGCCAGAGAAGTAGAGCACAATGTTTGATTTCTGCTTGAATCTGAGGCTGCCGCTATGGAAGAAACAAGACCCTCTTGGGGTGTTAATGCTGTGAGCCCCTCCACCATAGGCTCAGGTTGCATATAGGTGTAAATAAACCATATTTCAGAAAAGCACCACAGTCTCCGCTGGGCCTCATTTCCAAAAGGAAACATGGACACTGGCTAAGCTCCTGGAACTCCTGGCACCTCATACTGCTTGGAGATTGGGGTGGCATGCAGCAATATACCAGAAATCTGCATCCAATGCAGATATAGTCTTAGTTTTTCTTGTTTCTTCCTGTTGCAAACTTGGTAACTGGTGATAAGGAACTGTGAACAGGATACTCTTGTCTTGTCTGTAAGATATGAGCAGCACCCCCTCTGTTGGTAGAAAAGATAATGACATGGTAGATCCTTATTCAATAGCAGAATGGACCTACGCTATTTTTTCTGGCAAGGCAGTTGCTTCAGAGCTAGTGTTCTGGGATTCAAACCTTAAGAATTGTTGTTATTCATGTTTATAGCATGATAACCTAAAGTCTAAATTGTAGGGAGTTGGAATGCAGCCTCTTGGGTCTTGTTGGGTCACCATCCTCTTGCCCACTGGAGCAAAAAAAGAACCTCATGTTCAGCAGGGAATGTAAGCAAATAATGTAGAGGGAATTTCAAAATGGGTCCCTACCTGTAGTAGTCTGAAGCCATACAGCCATCTTCTCCCATCTTAGGTTTCTGCCACCTCATTTGCATAGAGGAGGCCTGTGCTTGGCAATGTTTCTACGTGCTGGATATGAGCAGCCTTTATATGAATGTTGGTCTTGCACTGAGGTTGGTAGACAGCAGCCACAGAGCACTGTTGTACCAGTCATGGTTCTCCCCAAAGAATTTTGGAAACTGTAGCTTGTTCCCCTGTTTCTTTCACAGAGGGCTTTAACAATTAATCCCTCTTGCCAGGAAACCCTGGGAATTGTAGTTCTGTGAAGGGCATACAGTCATATCTTGGATCTCAAACGCCTTGGCTCCTGGACAAATTGACTCCCGAACAATCGAAACCCGGATGTGAGTGTTCTGGTTTTCGAACGATTTTTGGAAGCCAAACGTCCAGTGTGGCTTCCAATTGGCTGCAGGAGCATCTCCTGGCTGCTCCTGCAGCCAATCGGAAGCTGTACCTTAGTTTTCAAACAGTTTCGGGAGTCGAACAGAGTCCCAGAACAAGGTATGACTGTAGAGTTCTCTTAAGAACTCTCAGCACCTGTAACAAACTATGCTCCCAAGGATTCTTCAGGGGAAGCTGTGACTGTTTAAAAGGGTATAACCAGTGCTTTTTTTCTAAAAAAATGTTTAGGGCTAGTCCCATTTTCCTACTCATATTGAAATACTGCCCCTCAATGAGGCCAAATGTAAATTCACAAAATGTTTAGGAGTATGCGTCCCCCCAGAAAAAAAACACTGGGTTTAACAGTGCTTTAATGAAAGAGGATGACGTGGCCAAAATATCCCAATATGATCTCAGCTCCTCACAAGACTTTACTGGATGTATATACATAAGTATTTCTCAGGAGACTATCAGAAAGGGACAACACTAAAAAATTGATACATTAAGAGAGGTTGACACCAGCACCATGAGCCCCCCCTCTAGGCCTTCCATACTTTGCAGTTTTAAGAGCTGGTTGAGTATAACTTGTAAAACCCTGTAATTCAACCATAGTGCCCTCTTTTGCCCAAGTTTCTTGAAGAAAGATGATATCATGTGTTTGTAGACAGGAACAGAAATCACTGTAAATCAATGCAAGAGGATGATGTGGCCAAAATATCTGTGCCCCACTGGATTTGAAGGCCTCCATCCCCAATGGGTACCTTTCAAATATATGAGCAGGTTTTGTTTTTTTATGCCTCCTTCCAGGAATTTTTTCCCTTCCCCAAGAAGTAGGGAAGACTCCCTTCTGTGACTGACACCCAGTCACATTCACGCTTGCTGATTGATTGCCAGTCCCTTCATATTATGAAGCAGTAGCAGACAATGCGGTGATGACATTTACCTGACTTCCCAAAAGGTGTCTCACTGCCGCTTACTGGGAAGGAGAGTGCAGCACAATGCAGACATACCTGCAAGAGCACCAGACTGGCTTTGCTGGTGCATTTGCATTGTGATGGCAGTGACTCACCTGCTGGGAGGTCAGGTAAGCACCTCCATACCATTCACTACTGTTACAAAGTGATTTCACACTTATCCAACATGTTCTTTGTTCTGCAATATTTTTGGTGTGGTTTTTTTAAAGGATGAATCAACTTCAGAGGAAGAATGTGAAGGACTCTGTTGGAAGTGGTCTTCTTTCAAATCCGTTTCAACTGCATGAAAATGGAGGAGGACTCTCACAAATCCTCTTTTCTCAACAGGTGAACAACGAGGTCTTTCTCAGGTGTGCGACATGGTGTCAGAAACCTCTTCCAGCAGCAGGGCTGGCCTGTAGCACTTTTTCAACATCATCCCGATGGCATCCCTCCAGCTCTTACCTCTGTGCTTCCTATTAGTAACCACTCAGGGATCTAGTGGTAAGCATTCCTATGCCCATTGGTGACTGTGGGGTGCTTTGGAATTATCTTTTGCTCTTATTTTTGCCTTTCATTGCATAGGGATAGGAGATAGCCCCAGCTTTCAATACTAAAAATATGTATCAGCTCTCTGTGTTCAGGTATTCTGAGCTATTAAGCACATTTCTGAAAAATGAGAGCTGTATTTTCTGTATTTCAGTAATATTACATAAATCTTGGTACAACTACAGCCATGGTGCATAAATCCTGATTAAGTACAGCTGTGCAAATTCTCTTGCCATGTGTACCTTTCTAAGGGATGCTAGGCAGAAAAATGAGACTGGTGTTGACCTCCAGAAGTTGGTCCCATAATCCCTCACCATTGGCCATGCTGGCCAGGACTGATGAAAGTTGGAGTCCCACAATATATTGAGGAACACAGGCTCTGCTGTCAGCAATGGCTAACATGGATTGTGTTTTGCAGATTGTATACAAAGTGGTCCTTATGTGCTAATTTATGCTCCCTACCTATTGCTGTTGGTGATGGATTATATACTTTCCTGGCCAGTGCTCCTAACCGGATTTAAATGATTATTATAAATTCAACACCCTTCTAGCTTGTCTCCTGTTACTATTTTCCCCACAGCTTTATACTCCGACATGCATTTGTACAAGAGTAAGATGTTCAGCCCAAACCCACTCAGCATTTTATGGTACAAGCCTACACATGTCTACTCAGAAGTAAGCACCAATGAGACACCTTCTTCCCCAAATTTATGCCTTCCAGGTGTTCTGGACTACAGCTCCCATCAGCACCAGCCTGCATGGCTAACGGTGAGGAATTATGGGAGCTGTAGTCTAACTTCTGGAGGTCAGCATTAGTCTCATCTTTCTGTTCAGCATCCCTTAAAAAGGATGGGAGTTCCAGGTGGAGGAAGGCTTGTTTACGTTAACTGGTGGCAGTTTATGATGCCTTAGGATTGTACCTTTTGCCAGCCTTAGGTTACAATCCTTATCTCAAGGGCTAAAACAGCCTTCACTAAACTTCCCTCCAAATGTTGTGGACTACAGCTTCCATCAGAGAGGCCAAGAGGTGGAGATGAGTCAGGCTGGTGAAGAGTCATACTGTAGGTGTCTTTCCCTCCTGCTCTGACAAATTCCCACCCCCCCATCTCCCAAAACCAGGAGAGGCATGAAAGGGGAGGAGCAAAGACAGGCACACAGGTGCAGTCTCTGATTGCTTGTGGGGGGAATCCCAGAGATGAGGGGACTTTGGCAGCTGTGGGGAGGCAGGGGTCTTCAGTCTCAACAACTGCTTCACAGGAGTAAGACCTACTGGAGTTGAGTTGATGTGCTTATTAGGCCTGACACTCCTGTGCAGATTATAGTTTTGGTAATAAAGAGTTAATTCCAACTTTCACGTTGTGATTTACTGCTGGTTTGCTTCTGACACTGAGCTACAGCCATCCCTGACTGACAGATGCAGCTGACCTTGGCTGTCATAATAGTGCCTTTTAATCGCCTGTTTCAGTGCTTGAATCAACTGATGCATTTGCTATGTCTCCCCACCCCATTTTCTCTCAGAATTCCCAAATTTCACATGTGTCGAAGATGTTACTGCAGCACTTGGGAAAACCATTAACCTTACATGTGAGAACAACAAAGCAATGCTAAATGCAACAGTGAAGTTCTGTCATAATGAGACAAGTTGTCCAAAGGAAAGTGACCTCAACTCAATAAGCAATAAATATATTACTGACAATGGAAGAATTTCGTTGATGGTGATAAATCAATCTGTTATCCTCAGTGTCCACAAAGTAAAAATATCTGACCAAAGACATTATAAGTTTTTTTTGGAAGCTGTTAATGGAGATGATCACAACAAAATTATATATCTAAAGGTTGTTGGTAAGTTTAAGCCAATGAACAACGGACATCAAGAACTCTGGGTTTGATGGAACATGGGTTGGGGCTGGTGTCAAAAGCAAGGTGATAGTAAAGTAATGAAAATGCATATTGGAGGAAGTGTGGGCATGCTAAACATATAGCAAACCCAGTTCTGTTTCTGAAGAAATAATGACCTTTAGCTGAACGTGGTCCATAATAGTCTGGGAACAATTTCTTTATTGTTCTATTTACATACATAGGTACCTGGCTGCAAAATTTTGTTCCACCCCAGATAAAGCTGGTGCCAACCTTTATAAAATTCTAGTGCCAGTTAAAGGCCTATTTATTACACAGAATCATAGAGTTGGAAGGGACCCTTGGGAACATGTCCACACCCCTGCAATGCAGGAATGGGCAGCTGTCCCATACAGGGATCGAAGCTGCAACTTTGGTGTTATCAATACCGCACACTAACAAACTGAGCCATTTCCTGAGGCTTTGTGGTGAATTGTTGACTGTTGAGCTTATTATGTTATTTTACTTTTCTTCAGTCAGTTGTTTGTTTGTTTGTTTGTTTGTTTGTTTACTTATTTCTATACCATCCTTCATCCAAGGATCACAGGGCAGTTTATGATATAAAAACACAAAAATACATATCACAGTAACAAACAAAAATAATACCACCCCATCACACACACACACACACACACACACACAGAGAGAGAGAGAGAGAGAGAGAGAGAGAGAGATTAAAAGGCCATAATTTATCTTGGTTGGCTGGTGGTTTTGTTTATGTACATGAGGTGTCTTCAGCTAAGACCTACTCAAAGTAAATTCAACAGAATTAATGAGCTTAAGTTTGTAATGTCCATTAATTTCAATGTGTCTGCTCTGAATAGGACTATCTTATGCTTTTAACTTACTGATATTGTAACCCACTTTTGGCTCCCCTTTCATAATGCAAAGTGGGCTAGAAATATTTTGATTAAATTGATTAAATAAGCTACCACCTACATATTTTCCAGCACCGTATTCTGAACCTCAAATCAAAATTCAGAAGGACACTGTGGTGTGCACAGCATCGGGAGGGCATCCACAAAGGCAGCTCTATTGGTTTGGTGACCATGGAACCAACCTAACTCACAATTCAAAACTTGTGTCTTTGAAGAATGAAGATGGCTCATTCTCTCTCATCAGTACTCTTCAGCGGCATTCTCTTGATAGTGGCACGATATGCTGCTCCATCCTCAACAACAACACAAATTGTGATAATCCCCAGGGTGAGTTCAACAAAAATGTCTTGTTGCCTACAGACTAAACTGTCTAGAAAGCCATGACAGTGACACTGGCTTGGATCCATTTGAAAATCAACTTTAACTTGTACTGTAGTGGAAGATTTTTGGGTGGGGAATGGGTATTTTGAGAGAAAATTAACTGACAGGATACTGGTTGTGATTTTGATTATGTAGTGAACTGCCCTGAGATCTATGGATGAAGGGTGGTATACAAATGTAATAAATGAAGAATAAAATAATAATAATCTAGATGGGAATGTGTTTTGGGGGGAGGGGTGAATTGGAAAGAAATGATTGGTGGGTTTAATGTTTGGAGCCCAGAGCCCAGTCTCTGCTCTGTACTGAGGTCACTTCTAGAGAACCTGTTTATTGAGCATTCATCCTGATTTTTTTTGTGTGGGGATGTTAAGCAGTCAATGATGTTGCATCAAGCAATCGTTATCCCACACTTTCTGGTGTGTTTTCCTGTCAGATTAAGTCAGAATTGTGGGGTGGGTGGGTGAGTTTGTTATGCAAGAGCTCCAGATTAAGTTTAACTGAGCAACCTGAATTTCCTGTGTCAAGAGCCCAGGCTGCCATCTTGATAACACAGCACACAAGTCATAATTAGCTAGAAGATTTATTGTGATACAAACAATTCGTCTCGGACGTCTAACCAAGCATCTGTGCCTTACGAGTCAGTTGACCCTTCTGAGGAGTGCATCCTGGTTCTGCAGAATATCCTGAACCTATGACCCTTATGTCTCTGGGTTTGTTTCCTGTCTAATACCTTTCCCATACGTCTACTCTTTGGGCTCAGGGGATTAATTGCCTCCTCTTCCAGTGAAGAAATGCTACCCCTTCTGCTTTCTGAGCCTGCCTGTGCTTCTTAAGTGAGTTGACTTCTCTCCCTCCCACTCTCTGCTAACACCTTATCTACATTTCATTCTTGTCAGGAGGAGGGGGAGGGGGGCTGCTCCCAGCTGCCTGACTGCTTCCTAACTCATGCTGTATTTCTCTACTTGGGGCAGATGTGTTCATGACATCCTGGTATGTGATTGAATCCTACCCAAAATAGCAATGGTCTACAAGTGCCCTGAGTTTGTGGCCTTAGCTTAGCTAGTCACTTATTTTGAGCTAGTCCAGCACTGCTCCTTGGAGTAATCATTTCATACCTGCCAACATTTTTCAGATGAAAATAGGGACGTACTATTCCAACATCATCACCAACATTTTATTATTTATACCCCACCCTTCTGACTGGGTTGCCCCAGCCACACAGGGTGGATTGCAACATATATAAACATTAAACAACTTCCCTGTTGTTTAATGAGATGTCTTCTAAAGGTTGTATAGTTACTTATCTCCTTGGCTCGGGGGTTGGATAACGCCATACCCTCCAACATTTCCCCGATGAAAATAGGGATGTTGTAAGGAAAAGTGGGACATTCTGAGATCAAATCAGAAACTGGGACGGCTTCTATAAATCCAGGACTATCCCTGGAAAATAGGGACACTTGGAGGGTCTGTTATTTGCACATCTCCAGGAAACTTCCAAGCAGGATCCAAGGACCACGGCCTTTCCCTCTGATCTGTCTCCTGCATCTGGTATTCAAGGGTGTACTGCCCCAGAACATGGAGGTTTTATAGGAGGGACTTCCACTGACAGATTCATGATGGAGGAGTGGCACTGAGGAAAGGGATGTGGGCAGTGTTTTTATGATTATTTGTAGCTTCCTCACTTTTGTGAGGTACTGGTGGCTTGATTGTACCTGAGGCTTGAGTATTTGCACATTGTCACAGTCAGTTATGTCCAAAGATACAATTCACTCCAGATGTTGCTTTTTTCTCTCTTCCTCTCCTGTACAGGTTCTGCTCTTGTTCGTGTTGGAAATGAAACAACTACCAAAAAAGTACCACAAGATGCAGAAAAGAAAATATTAATTCCAGTTTTCATCATTGTTATCCTGGCAGCCATTTGTGCTGCTACGTTTTTTCATTGCAGAAAGAAGAAAGGTCAGTTTTTATAAGAATTGGCTGCAGATTCATGTTTTTCTTCCCAGGATATCATTTGGAAACCTTCCTATGGGGGAGGAAACTTTTCAATGGAGCTTATATACACATGTGTTTGTGTGTTACAAGAAAGATCTGTGTGGAGCATATAATTTACTTATTAGAATAATTGTTCCCCCGCAATCTTTGGGACTCAACACTTCAGTTTTGCCTATAATAAGCCTACGCAGGCACCAGATGATGCTTGGTGTAGCATTTAAATTTCTTCAGCTTGAATCCAGAAGAACTACCACACAGTCCAGCCATGCACCCCAAGTCTGCCTCAAGATGAAACTCTTCCAGTGTGAAGTGTGCCTGGGCTGGGGTGGTGCGAAGGGAGGCATTCCTTGTTGAGCCTTGAGCTGGGTGGCTGTCCTACTGCAGAGTTTAGGCTGGAGAAGTTTTTGCTGCCATGATGAAATCACTACAAAGGCAAAACGTGCTTGTTGTTTTGTAGATGCATGTGCAGGAGTTTGCGGGAGGACAGAGAAGGTCCCCCTCTCCAAGGGTTTGACTTCACCTGAATACACAAGTCCACCTGAATCAGTGAGATCCAGGGTCCAAAGATAAACAAGAACACCCGGTTATACTGCTCTTATGGGGTGGGTGTCTAGACTCTGGCTGGGGGAGCCATGGGGTGGGTAGTAGAGTGCTTGGGTGCGTTGCTTTCCCCCTGACCACAACATTTGTTTTTCTTTTGGCTTCAACTATTTTTCTAAAATTCATCAGTGAAAATTCTATATTTGAAGTGAAACTAATAAAATGCCAGAGAAACTGTGAGCATTGTGACTTGTTACAGCCACATAAAGCGTTTTCATCTTCATGGAGTTCAAGCCAAGATTTATGCATATGTGCAGCAAAAAGGCAATACAAACCACAACATTTCTGTGAACAGCCCACAACTTGACTTTGAGTGAAAATGTTTAACAGCTTTTACAATGGTTTAGATGAAGTTTCAGCAAAGTATATAAAAACAGTGGGTACCAGGACATAGATGCCTTATTTTCTAAAGAGTGGAATGGATGGGGTAAAAGTAGACAGAAAAATACATAATTCTTCCTCTCCTCCCATCTGATTTGTCTTTTCTGGTTTCCCTTTGTTTTGTCATTCCTCAGGTGCAATAAGGAATACATGTCTCCAGCGGCTTTTCCTATCTGAAGGTAAATATCTATTAAGTCTGCTAGTTAGTACTGCAGTTAATAATACAGGGAGAAAGGTGTATACATTGCTCTGGCCTTTTCAACATTGGCATGTTATAGAAAAATATTTTATATATTATGCTGATAGGCGAATGATTTCTTAGTTCATTGCAATCAGTGGCATTCTTGCTGTCATCATTATTCTTTCTTTCTCCTAGAGATGATATAGGAACGCCAGTGACAAACCAAACTGAAGCCAGGGAGAAGAGTCGGTGGAGGAAGATTGGAAGAAATTCAAAGACTATCTGCAGAAACATTGCAAAATTAAAGAATGCTAGAGTGATGTTGGATTGAAAATAAGTGGCTTCCAGCTGTACAGGATTTAAAGTTATATACAGATTAAGATTAAGGATTAGGATTTAAAAAGTTTAAGGAAATGGAAACTTGGTTTTTAAGAGGTAAAATTTTAATGTTATATTATATTAAGATTAAAGATTGGGATTAAAAAAGAGGGAAAGAAATTGCTGGACAAACAATTTGAACTGGAATACAAAAGAGGGAGGTATGAGGAGGTCCAGAAAATAAGTAAATTTAAAAATGGAGATGAAAAGGAGGTATTGTTTTTAACTGTTTTCTTTTTTCTTTTTTCTTTTTTTCTTTTTTTTCTTTTTCCTTTTTGGATTATGTATTGTGTATTCTTAAATTGTGTATTTCTTTTTTATGTTTTTATGTTCAATTTTTTTATTGATGTGCTCTTTTTATTGGAAATCTTAATAAATATCATTTTTTTAAAAAAAAACAACACACCAAATTGAAGCAAATGCAGTGACTGGGTCAAGAAACACATGGAAAACTGTAATACTGCGGGACTCTGCAATTCAGATTGCGAAGGCAAGGGACTCTGTGTGACCTTCTGCTCTGCAAGCCCATCTTACGAAATCTCCAAGCCATTTTAGTGTCTTATTAGTCAAGAAAGACTTGCCTTTCATGTGAAAGAAGCAGTCTGCTATTTGGAATCCACTTCTTTCTCCAGCATAATACAATGCATCTTTCTTCAGGTTTTGAGAAGGGTTGTTTTCCTGCAGCACTCCTTTATATAGCATCTGTAGATAGTCCTCTCTGTAATAGTTGCAGCAGACTAGGTATATTAATGTGGCAGCAGCAGTACAGTCATCTGCATTCAAATTTCACCTTTGTTAAATACCTTCTGAGAAGCCTTGGACAAATCATGTGTCAGAGTTGTGATCTAAAGGTGCAAATAATAGAAGATAGATAGCTAGATAGATATAGATGATAGATAGATGATAGATAGATAGATGATAGATAGATATAGATGATAGATAGATGATAGATAGATAGATGATAGATAGATATAGATAGATGATAGATAGATAGATAGATAGATAGATGATAGATAGATAGATGATAGATAGATAGATGATGATAGCTAGATAGACACTGTATATACTTGAGTATAAGCCGACTTTTTCAGCACATTTTTTATGCTGAAAAAGCCCCCCTCGGCTTATACTCGAGTGAGGCGGGCGGCGGAGGGACAAGCGGCCCGAAAGGTGCCTCGGCTTATATTCGGGTCAGCTTATACTTGAGTATATACAGTGTATGTATATATATATATCTATAGTAAGTGTTATCGTTTTGTCTTTATTTTTTAAGAATATATTTACCATACTCATTTGAAGAGGCCTTGTGATTATTACTTTTTTTGAGGGAGGGTGTGTGTCTTCAAATAAAAATACCTGAAGTGTGGAAGAATAATACTACTGAACTATTTTAGTAAACTCCCCCTGCCCCCAGAACTGCCCACAGCTTAGTCTACCAGCTCCTGAAAGGAGTGTCTTAGCAAAGTAGCTGAGAAGTGGCACAGCCAACTATACAACTATTGGTCAGTTTTGGTTTCAGCCACACTAAGACTGCAAATTTAGGAGTGAAGCCCCATTGAACAGAATGGCAATCTCATTTTAATGTGCATTTATGGGACCAGTCAATTGCTCTGGTTTTATCTCTGATTTAAAACCTGGGGTGGTGGCAAAGTTTACCTAACTTGGGCTCATATACAAGCTCTGGGAACTCCACAAGAAGGGGAAATCTTTATAATCCTATGAGTTCTTCACTGGCTCAGATTAAAATCCAAGCTGTGGAAAAAACTTCTGCCTCCTCCTGCCAGCTCCACCCACCCACCTTTGAATTTAGCCTCCACAGCACCCTCATTTCAGTCCCTATGTTAGCTAATACAGCAAAGGACTACTGTACATTCCTTTGTGAAGAGGAAGGAGGAGGGGTAGAATAAAGAGACTGTTAGACGCACATACCTCACCCCTCCCACCTGATATGGATAGTGGCTATATCTGAGGATTGGGGGAAAGGAGATATGTGTGCTTTTAAAAGTTTATTTTCATAACTTTGGTTAATTTTCAAATTGCAGTGGTACCTCGGGTTACATACGCTTCAGGTTACATACGCTTCAGGTTACAGACTCTGCTAACCCAGAAATAGTGCTTCAGGTTAAGAACTTTGCTTCAGGATGAGAACAGAAATCGTGCTCCGGCGGCGCAGAGGCAGCAGGAGGCCCCATTAGCTAAAGTGGTGCTTCAGGTTAAGAACGGTTTCAGGTTAAGAATGGACCTCCGGAACGAATTAAGTACTTAACCTGAGGTACCACTGTAATTGGAGCAGAGTGATGGCAAGCTTGCTCCTTGCTTCTCAAAGAAAGAAGAAGAAGAAATGTCTTTCCTGTTATCTTAGGTTAGTGCGATTGTGCATGATCCAATCCCCACAGATTAACAAACAGAATTACTATTTTTTTTCCATTTTTGGCTGGCAGCATGGTGCCCTGGAAGCAGAGCTGCTGGGACAGAGAGGGGACATTTTGTCCTGGGTTGGGGGAGAGTGTAAGGAGACAACACCTAGGAGCAGCAGCCTGACCACATGAGAGAGGCACGGACTCCATCTCACATGGCATCCATTATAAATAGCTCTAGCTCCTCCATCTTATAAGATATTCAGGAGAACAGCAGGTCCAGTAACAGATGGTGGTGAGAGCAGAGCAAGCACTGCACATGTTACCCTGCTCTGAGGTGGTGTCTAGTGGGGGGCCCAATTACTGTATGTTACTTGTAACTCACTGCATCCCTTTCAAATGCAAAAGAGAAGAGGGCTCTGCTGTGTAGAAAAGGGAATTGCACTAGGTACAGCTTATGCCAGCTACACCTGCTGAAACCCCTCTTTTCTACGCAACACTTAACAGGTGCACTATGGGAGCCTGTCTTCTTTTGCATCTGGCCTCCCTACTTCCTATAGCATCTAATATATGCACTATTGTGACTGGGTGCTGGTCTACTTGAACAGCTGTTTACAAAAGCTTTGCCTTCAGAAAAGCACGAGACTTGCAGCTCCCCAGACATATAAAGCACAAACAATTCTGAACCCCGAGCCTTGAAAATGTTTCATTATCTATTTATTTTCTTACCCACATACCCATCACACTTAAGAGCTCAACATGTCCCATGTGACTTGTGCTGTGGTTAACATCAGTCCTCGGGGTTGCTGTATTTTCAGTTCAGAATCAGTTCAGTCACTTCAGCGACAAGCCAGTTCTGCTGCAGAGTTTTAAGAGAGTCATTCTGCAAAATGCCCAATTGGGTGCTTGCCATGCATGTTCTCTTCCTGCTTCCCCATGGAACGTCAGCCTCCGATGGTAAGCATAAGAAAATTACTATTTTTTCTGACTTTGCTGCATTGTATCTGTATCTTTGGCAGGGAGGGGAGGGGTTGCCTCCTTAATTTCCCCCCTAAAGTCCTCCCCCTCCTCATTTCTGCAACTAGGGTTCTACCAATAACAACCTACTGTTTCTTAGGGCATTTCTAGACTGTTGCTATTTTCATATGGGATTCAGTCACATACCAGCAAATTCAGGCTGTGCAATTAAATTTGATTTGGAGCTCTTGTGCCCCCGCTGCTAAGAAAAACAAACAAACCTCCAGACATTTTGCTGAAGAAGGTGATGGAGAAATGTACTAGGAAGTGTGGCATAATGTTTGCTTGATGCAATGTTCTCTAACCTCTCCACAAACAGAACAAATGCTCAAAAATACAATCGGATTGCAAACTTTTTGAAAAATTATTAAGGTGAATGCTCAATAAACAAGTTGTCTTGAAGTGAACTCAGAGCAGGGCTGGCTCATCCATAAAGCCCGGTGAAGTGATTGCCTAGGGCAGCAGGATTCACAGGGGCAGGAGATCCCAATGTGGATCCTTCTCTCCCCACCCTCATTCTTGATGTAGATCTTCACCCCTTCTTCTCTGGTGGGCAAAGGGACACCATTTAGTAGTTTGCCTTGGGTGCCAAAATGTATTTGACTGGCCCTGCTTCAGAGGCTCCCTTTTGCCTACATAGCCATCATAGCTGTTTAAATCATACAAGTAGAAACTGCTCATATCTTTTAACTCTTGAAAAATAACATTATCCCCCACCCACCTCAGTTGAAAATCCCATGAATCCCAAAATGTATATCAAATTTGAAATTCCCAATTTGAAATCTTTACTCTTTTGAAGATTTTTGGATTTGGGAAATCATAATCTACATGGCCCAAATGTTTCCCTGCATACATGATGCCATTTACATGTTAATAATTTCCTACTAAAAAATCTCACCCCGCCCCAGCTGCTATTTTGCACTCAAAGGTGGTGCTGATCGTAAGCTATTGCAGGATTTGATGTGGTTCAGATTCCAGATCAGGGTCATATAGCTGCTTTTTCTCAAAATAAAAGGAGCCAGTTTACAATGCTTTCTGAAAAGTGTGTAGAAGGTAAAGTGCAGTTTGACCCTCTTTTGAGATCAAATGACTGAGCTACGGTCAATTAACATGGCATTTGACAGGGATTTTTGCTTGGGGTGTGTGTGTGTGTGTGTGTGTGTGTGTGCGCGCGCGTGCGTGCGTGCCTGCTGCACAGCCAGTGAGCAAAACACTGTTTGTGTCTGCAGAAAAGAAAAATACTGCTGCAGGCAACGTTAATAGTCTATTATTAATTTTGAAACCTGAGTGTATGAATATAATTAGTGGCTACATGGTGGTGTAAGCTAAATTTATATATAAAAGATTAAGATACTGAACTCTCCTCAAAGCTCTCTGAGAACTAGTCCTCATCGTGCCTAATTTTCCCCTCCATAAATGTTGAGTTCTCAATGGGGGCGGGGAGACAGTAAAAGATATCAAATATTCAAATAAAAACAGCAGAAAGCAGGTCCTCATGTCTATGCAAAAAAAGTTATCTAAACTAAATGATTTTGGCTGTATCAGAATAAGGTGATGATGGGCTCTGGTAGGCCTCTCTGTGACGGTAGGCAGGGTGGGTGGATGACAGTTGTCAGGAACTTTGCATTTTCCTATTAACATAATGTTATGGGGTAGATGCTGAGAAATGTAGGTTTTCTGCAATGAAAGTGAGTGTCTTTAGAAAACACTGCAGCAACAGTGCTCCGGTTTCTACATACTACTAAACCATGGTTTACTAATGGCTTAGAATTATGTGTGAACCCTTTTCGGTGGATTGGCTCTGTTTGCTTACTGCCAGCAAACCGCAGTCTGAAACCATGGTTTGTTGTTGGCTTATGAACCTTGATTTGATGGTATATGTGAACTCAGCATGCTTTGTAAACCATGGTTTTTTTGACCACTACACTTCAGACACTCACCAAACAACAAAGGCAAGAGCAGCTGTAAAACAAAACAAGCTTTAAAGAAACAATTCATGGTTTATTTGTCAACTGTGCTTAACTTTGTTAAACAAACCATGGCTAGGCATTATGCGTGAAATTGGCCAGTGGGAATCCCTGGCATCTCCAGGTAGGGCTAAGGGGTTGTCAACCTGGTCCCTACTGCCCACAAGTAGGTGTTTCAGGATTCTAGGTGGGCAGTAGGGGGTTCTATGGCACAAGCTGAATCCTCCTTCCATTGAGCACTGGTGGGTGGTAAGAAAATTTTACCATCAAGAAAGACGCATTAGTGGGCGGTAGGTGCAAAAATGTTGACTGCCCCTGGTGTAGACTAAGGTGGTTCAACCTGTGGCCTTCCCGCCAGATTCAAGAACAATAATCTTAAAATCTTAAAAAATTATCATTTGTGTCATGGGTTGCTAACAAAAGTGCATACATCTGTTTGGATATTAAATTTGTTTAATAATTAAATCAATTAAATATATTAATTGTGTATTTAATTATATATATTTAATTAAATATATGGTGTATATTAAATGATATTAAATATATTGTGAACACTTTAATTCACTATATGGAAATTTAATTCAGTGTGTGGGCCGCAGATTCTGTGCTGAAGTACTCTTGTGTCCCAATTAGTATGAAAAGTTGGACTGCCCTTATATAGACAATATTTCACTAAATGGTCTGATTCACTAAGTGGTCTGATTCAGTATAACACAGCTTCCTAAATTTCCATGTGGGGGATCAGTCTTACTACAGAGAGACTGGACAAAGAAAAACATGCTCATACCTTTAAGCAGGCAAACAAATAAAACTGGAAGGGACATTCTTCAGTGCTCTCTCTCTCTCTCTCTCTCTCTGTGTGTGTGCGCGCGCGCGCGTGGTAGGGACAGTCTTCCAGGATGAAGAAACTAAATAAAATAATAATCTCAAGTGGTAGGCATTTCTTATGGAGGGGTGGTGGTGGTTCTCTTGCTCAAATTCTCCATTATTTTCTCTTAAAGGTCTCATGCAGCAGATAACTCATCACCCACAACATTAGAATACACACCCAGAAAAATGCTAAAACAATAACAAGCATTTTTTTATTTTTTTAAAATTAAACATCCCTGTGTTGTATCTGTCTCCTGCAAACAGTGATATTTCAGGGGCTACGGACAAGTGCCGACAAGCACATTCATATCCAAAACTCAAAAGCGTGCTGGTGCTAGTGAGGAAAATCTGATTTCTCCAGGAACTAGTTGCGGTGTGAGGGCTGAATTCCCAGAAGAGTAGCGCAGTCTGGAAGAATATGTATCCCCTTTATCTCCCAAGAAAGCCTGGGGAGAAATTGGGTTCACTTTGCATTTTAATACAAACCACCTGATTTGTGCATCCCAAAACAGTGCACAAACTGAAACACCAGTATCCTTTGGAATTTGCATTTCCAAATTTTGCAGCGCAGTTCTCTAACCAAAATATTTCTGAAGAAATTTCTTTATTAGGAAAACATGCATTAAAATGCATGCACTAAGGAAAATAACAAAATACACGGCAGAAATATACAAGCCGGGGAAAAGAACATACAAAAACGTGTCTATTAGGAGAAATGCACCCTAAAATGTAGACGTATTTTCATGAGGACTTGCTTTCTGAAAGAATGCAGATGACGCAGAAATGTGGCAAAGACTGGGGAGCTAAGAAACTGGGAGTCACTGAAATTGACTGTGCTGTCCATTCCTACTCAAGAGTGAAAGGGCTTCCACCATTTCAGAAACTGGAATTGATTGTATCCACTCTCAGCTCCTGCTGGTTTCAGCATTTGAAACCTGGTGCAATCCTTCCTTCTTAAAACCCGCTGAAGTCAATTGTGCAAGTGTATAGGTAAGTCCCATTATTTCACAGCAATACAGCCAATCTCTTCAGAGTCTCACCTGTCCTGTATGCCTGTCCCTCCCCCTTTTTTCCCTTTAAGTCACAGAAAACAAACCAGAACTAATAGTTATCACTGCTGAGGAAGGAGAGTCTGTCAATATTACTTGCAAGTTTGACCAACTGGCGATGTCAGGGCTGCGTTTGAGACGGACACTTGTGAAAGCCATGGATGTGCTATATGTGAAAAAGCAGGGTCTACACATGACCAAAGCTCCTGAATATGCATACCGCATGGAGTACTTTCAGCTGAAGAACGCATCGACGATAATGCTGAAGCATGTGAAGAAGAATGACAGTGATGGGTATTTGTGTGGGGGCACTCTGATAATTAACCAGGAGCCCAGGATAATGAATTTCAGCACTATCATCTTGGCAGTGAAAGGTGGGTCAGGAACAATCATTACTTCAACAGTTAGAGGGAATGGCAGCACTATTTGTTGGCTACAAAGAGAAAGACAAGTATCTAGCAAAATGTGTCTGTGCATGTATATACAGTGGTACCTCGGGTTAAGTACTTAATTCATTCCGGAGGTCCGTTCTTAACCTGAAACTATTCTTAACCTGAAGCACCACTTTAGCTAATGGGGCCTCCCACTGCTGTTGCGCCGCCACCATGCAATTTCTGTTCTCATCCTGAAGCAAAGTTCTTAACCCGAGGTACTATTTCTGGGTTAGCGGAGTCTGTAACCTGAAGCGTATGTAACCCAAGGTACCACTGTATGCACAGCTAACTCATACCATCAGTGCAGTAAGTTGTCATGGACTGGCTGGATGCAGAGGAGTGCTGGGAGGCACCAACTGGGGAATCCCCAAGGGAACCCTCAGTGGAAGAAGGCTCAGAGCCAGGGGATTGGTGGGGGGGACGGGACAGACAATGAGTAGTCAGAGGGAGAAATGGGAGCAGGCTGAGAGAAAGAGGTGACAGAAGCTGAAGAAGCAACAGGGTTTAGTGAGCAGGAAGAGGCTGTGGCAGAGGGCAGTCCAGACTCAGAGGCAGAAGAGAAGGGGGACCAGAAGGCAGAGATGAGGCAGAATCAGGGAGTCTCCCTCTTCTGGACGATGCCCTTAACTCTTTAAGGACAGTACAGATAATGTTAATTAAGCAAGCATTAATTCTTCTATTCATGATAGACATTTATATCTTAGGGCATGTTTGGAGAAAGACTTGTAAATGGCAAAACTTGCATCCACAACCGTAGGATAGCAATTGGGTTCCTGATTTGCTCTTCTTCACCATAGGCTTGTGTGGAAAGTAACAAAACATGTTCCTCTCTTTCTATCTCTAAAGAGGCCTCAGCTATGAAGCTAACCGAGTGTCCTTCATTTCTCTGGGTGCCATATATCCTTATCTTCATGTCACTGCTCTTGCTTGTTGGACTGGGATATTTTATCCTATCTCATATAGATGTGAGTATGACTAACACTTTCCTTTATGTTAGCTGAGTTCCATCAGTCTTCCTCCTAAAAGATTTGCACCTCACTGAGGAAATATTCCCAAGTATATAGCATCAGAATCTCTCTCCCTTTCCCCATAATTGCTAAATTGTTGGCATAATAACGTGCTTCTTCATGGGTCTGTATGAATAAGATGGTCTCTTGGACTCAGTATCATAGTTATTTCAGGACTGAATGGGCTCATGCAATCTCGGTGATGAAGAGAAAAGAAATAGACTGAAGATTCAAAAGTACATCAAAGCATGTTGACAGACTCAGTATGCAGAATTATCCCAATTTAACAGAATAGTCAAACACACTAATGGCTTTTCCTCTGTAATAATTAAAGCTGAGTAATACCAGTGATGACTTTACCTAAAAGACAGGTGCTCCCATGATAGCTTTTCTCCCCCCAGAATTGATGCCATCCACAACAGCGTGGGCTTGTCCAAGCAGTTTTCTGCTTGATCCACGCTTTCTAGACATGGATCCAAGTGGTTCTCCCCTTGCCTGCTCCTTTCCCAGGGAAACCCAACCCTTCAGCTCTCAGTTGGAGCAAACATCAATCTGGTGAAAAATCTGAATTGCTGTTTGTTCCTAGCACAGTTTTCCCCAGAGGAAGGCAGCAGGACAACAGGAAGTGTGGAGAAGCCCTGTATCTCTGAACACATAGATAACGTTCATCCTAAATTGTTGCATTCCTGAGTTTCCCCCGCAAAGACATTCTGCCTTATACTGAGTCAGGCCATTGGTCCATCTAGTTCAGTTTTGCCTACACTAGCTGGCAGCAGCTCTCCGGGGTTTCAGATGGTGGTCCTTTCCAAACCTACCTGGAGATGCTGGGGATTGGACCAAGGACCTTCTGCATGCAAAGTATTTGGCCTCCCAGTGAGCTAGGGAGCAACATCTGCTGCCCCTGCTTCCAAGTGCTAATGTATCACAATCCTGTGATAAATTTTGCTTCCATTATAATTGCAGCAAAATACTTTCAGGTGTTCTGGTTCGCCAGAAGTGGCTTAGTCATGCTGGCCACATGACCTGGAAGCTGTACACCGGCTCTCTCAGCCAGTAAAGCAAGATGAGCGCTGCAACCCCAGAGTCGTCTGCGACTGGACCTAATGATCAGGGGTCCCTTTACCTTTACCTTTTAGGTGTGAGTTGCCTAGTGCTATTGTTTCAAAGTCTTTGTCAGTTGAACCAGGCTTCTCCAGACTGGCACAAATGTCTTCAAGCTGCTATAGTAGTGATCTGTATCACTGCTTGGGTATAGAAGAGGCCAAAGCTCTCCTTTTCTATACCCTATTTTTTTCCAACACACTGGGTATCAGATCAACACATGCCTACCCATCCCTCCCCTTATCAATATTGACTCCAGCCCTTTGGGATGGATCCTTGTGAGCAATGCATATTAATTGCTGCCTGCTTTCTCCCCCTTTAACAGATCAAGAAATGCTGCAACAAAGGAAAGGCAGCAGAAACACAAAATATGGTCTATGAAGACATGACGTGCAGCCTGAGGCGCAACACTATGAATAATGTATATAATAATTAGAAGTGATCACTTGCCAGATGGAATAATCCCGTCATTCTCAGACCCAGCAAAATCCACTGCTGCAATATTTACTGCAAACAATGAATAACAAAGCTGGAATCTGCTAAGAATCAAGATCAATTATTGTTATTATAACCACTTTAACTGAAGGAAGCACAAGTCACTGTCTGGAAAAAAGGCATTTAGATAATACTTTAAACTTAAACTTTTTAGCAAGAATACCACCCACTCTGCTTACCTACTAACCCCTTTGCCACTCCCCCTTTCCCGACACCAGGCCAATCCCACTTCTCAGTTTACACCCGAACAACCCCTTCACTTTACACACCAGTCATCCCCTTGCCTACTCCCTCACAGCTCACCCCAATCCCTGTCCTCACAGCTCTTCCAAACCCTCTTTTTAAGGAGTGATGCACACACTTCAGAGTGTGGTCTGCAAAACCTCCCACTCTCCTTTAAACAGCTCACATGGGCGGGCTGCCCCCCCCCCCCCACTGCTTGGGTGTGTTTTTTTCTTGCTTGCTGTTCTGTAATCATGATGGAGTTGCAGCATTATGTCAGCCTTATAATGTATAGTAAGAAGTAATAATTTTGTATTTTTAGACATTTGCATAGGTTTTTTGACTTTGTGATTTTTTGTTTCCTAGAACATAATTTCCCAGGGTTTGATACTGTGTATTTGACTCCCGATAAAAAGTGAGCTTAGCAAGACTTCTAAGTTTATGAGTCTATAGGAATTTAGGAAGCTACCTTTTACTGAGTCAGACCATTGGTCCATCTAGTTCAGAATTGTCTATGTCTGGTAGTTTCTTTCCTGGTTTTCAGATAGCAGCCTCTAACAGACCTACCTGGAGCTGCCAGGGATTATACCTCCAACCTTCTGCACACAAAGCAATGGTCCTTTCCTCAGACTTCTGTTGCCAGAATGAGTGATAAATATTTCAATCAAGAATGTGCTATAAACATTTCAATCAATCTCCGTCAAAAGGTATTTTTTGAGGCATCTCTCACCACAGGATATCCTCCTTGCACAATTTTGGTTTACATTCCAACACTGACATTTCCTAAGGTTACCATACATCCTAGAAAGACACAAACATATGTGGTGCGCACTTGTACAACAAATGTTCTTACCAGTCAATGAGATTTCTCCTTCTACTGTCTTCCAGCTGCCATGATATTCATGGGTTTCTCTACTCCTCCTTCTGGGACTAGTCATCCTAGGAGTTTGTTTATTTATACTTTCTTGCAACCCACTCACTGATGTCACCTGACGTTCCACACATGCCTTGGAATTCTGTTGTTATCATACTTTGACCTGGAGAGCCTATTGGTAATCTGGTTTATGATTAGATGATGTATTATACCCTGCACTTTTTTTTTCCATGTCTGTTTTCCGGCAAATACTATGGTAACTGGAATGCCAGTTAAATGAATGAGCGACAGTGATTCTTGGAAAGGTTGCAGAACTGTTTACTTGGGGGAGGCACGAACTACAGCTGCGCAAGCACGTAAATGCATGGGCTAATGAAAGTTTCTGCCCATACATGACAACCATTATTCAAACACTGGGTTAATGTAAGATTTGTAGGAACAGGTTTTGCTGTAATGGGTGAAGTCATCAGTCTTTTCATAACTAAATAAATGCATTTATAAGGAAAGGAAAATGATTTATCTTTTTTAAAATGGTAAACAAATAAACCATAGTATTCTATGATTACAAGGGGCTGTTCCCTGCTTGTATTGCCTGCCAACTCTTCGTTTCCCCTCCCCTGTGTCAACAAGGGGAGCATGGATGCAGCAGCAATTGGGGAGGGGGACACAAAAAAGAGACTTCCCCCTTTACGTTCCCCTTCCTCCTGCATCAGCGGCTGAAAGGATCACTGTGGGGCAGGCCTGCCCTGCCTGTTCCTTTGCAGTGCAGGGGGATGCCTGGTGGTGGTGGAAGAAGCAGCAGCACAGGAGGCAGGACATTTGGCCTCAGGTGGCAAAACGTTGTGGGCTGGTGCTGGTGCTCACAGATCTTAGGAACACTAGAATTTCTGTAAAGTGAAGGGGTTGGCACACAGAATGGGAGCCTTTTGTGTGGCACCTCTTTTGGTGAGCAAACAGCCTAGCAAGGTGTGCAGGTGCTGTGCACTCTAATGACAGGCTTGAGCAACACTGAGCAAAACAAGCTTCCTGGGTTCAGAGCCACTGAGAAGACCACAGACCCCACTTTCCTGCAAATGCTCCTGTCTATAGCACACGCGTTTTGCTCAGGAAATGCACTGGTGAGGGGCAGCTGCAGTGTGGCTGAGAGACATTTATAAAGTTGTTTTGACACCTGGACTGTAAGATGGTTTAGAAAAATAATAATCAGTGGCTGGATCTAGACACATCAAAGAAGCATTTCAGTTTAAAGCCATTGTAAATTTAAACAGGGAAAACAGGTACGGAAAAACGGGACTCCACATCGTCATTTGGTGGCACAAAGTTATATCGTACATACAACACATATAAATCGCTTTTTCTTTACCAGCCTAGCTGAGTCCATTGTGATATTTGGCCAGCTGAGTATATACTTTAAAAATCATTTCCGGTTTCTAGATTGCGAAGAGTGTGGTGACTCATTGCTTATTTGTTTACAGTATTTCTATAACACCCATCAGTAACATTCCTGGAACAATTCGCCAAAAAAAGCACTGTAAATTTGAACAAAAGCTGCACAATTTAAAAAGCAGTTAGCAGGATTGAAATGACACCCGAAAAGCTCAGGAAAATAAAAAGGTCGTCACCTGGGACAGATAAGGGTATAACGTAAGCGGCAGATAAAGAGAGAGCATTCTGCATTTGTGGTACCACCAATGAAAAGGCCATCTGCCTCTCCTAAGATAGCAGGGACACCTTCATGACGCTTATGGTTGAAGCTTTTCAAGTCTCCATTCATAGTGAGATACACAAGCTTCAAGTTAGAAATGCCACATTGCAAACTCGGCCTCTGATGTTACCCCTGAATTAGTGTCAATCGTTTGGTGGGTTACTATGTAGCCAGATGTGGATTCATATCCCTGGAAGGAGAGAGTATTAGCAGTGTGCATATCACATGCATATTTCTGGTACTAAGTGAATACCTTTTTGTTCACCCAGGCCTTCTAAACATGTGCTCCAATACAACCCCTAGGCTGCTGGTTTAATGTGCTTGTAAAAACAAAACAAAACAAAACAAAACCCTAATGCTCTCTTAGTGTGGTGTTATGATGAACTCTATCTGGTTTTATTGGATGCCTGCTACAGAAAAGTTTTACATAGTTCATGGTCAAGATGACAAGGAAAATAACAAAGGTAAAAAAGCAACAGCTCAACATTACATAGCTTTAAAACAAGACATTAGATTAGATAATACCATAGCAACATTTTTCCAGTAAATGACCTTCATGGTCCCTTCCAACTCTACAATTCTATAATTCTAAGCTTCTCTGGCTCCAGATGTCACTGCACAATTCTACATTACCCTTGAAGATTAATAGATTAATAGTTCACTGTATCTGTCACATAGGATATAGGACAATTGGTAGCACTAGTATCTGCACAATGCACTTTTAGAAGAGGTGGCGATGCCATTAGCTTAAGTGATATCCACACCATACATTTAAAGCACGTGACTTCCCCCAAAGAATTCTGGGAAGTGTAGTTTACCCTGGACAGAGCTATGATTCAAAGCACCCTTAACAGTGCTGTTTTTCTAGAAAAGGGGGTGCCAGAACTCACCATGAATACCTCCCTTGTTCTCTTATAATGGCAATGGCACCCATTTGAGAGATGCTGGAACTGAGTTCCAGTGAGTTCCAGTTGCCCTTAAAAATTTTGGGTTCCCAAGATCCTTTGGTGGAAGCCATGTGCTTTAAATATGCTTTAAATGTATGGTAGGATTTCTCTGACAGGGTGTAGCTACTGTAGTGCCCTCTACATGTTGTTGGGTTCCAGTTCCCATCATCCCTGCCTATTGGCTATGCTAACTGGACCTGATGTGAGCTGGGACCCAACAACATTTGGAGGGCATCACATAGTTGATCTAGGATGTATGGCTCTTGGACACTGTGGATATAAGGAACCTTCAAAGACAGAAACACCAAATGCTGGAAAGCAACTGCAAGAAAGAGCTACTGCACAGAAGCCTTGCTTGTGAGCCTCCTACAATAATCTAGCTGACTGCTGTGGGGAAAAGCATGGTAGACTAGGTGGAGTTTGGCAGGATCCAGCAGGGGTGCTCTGATGTTGTTGTGTGAGGAGAAAGTGCTACAAAGCAAGAACGGTTTGCAGTCCCCACATATCCACAACCAACTCTGTGGGGGACAATAAAGCACTGTGGCTATTGGATTCAGATTGCGTAGACTTGTGAAACAAGAGAATTTAAGAGATGTGATGTTGAATCAGTTGAGAAGGGCTGTATTATATGCAGTGCCCTAGGTAGGACTTTGGAAATAACAGTGAAGAGAAATTCTGTAATTCTCAAAGGTGTCTTGGCAAACATTTTCTCAAGGTTTTTCTCTGCTGATGAGTCAAAACGCTCTGCACAATCAAATCAGTAACCTAAATAAAAATAAAAATAACATCCTGAAAGTTTAGTCAATAGAGACAAGTTGTTAACCACAGTAACCAAAGAAATACTTTGGGGATTGAACAATTGTTCATGGTTTGGAGATAAGACATAGGTTGTGTGTTCATACTATACCTTTAAAACACATTCTTTCCCTCAAAGAGGTTTGGGCACTGTAGTTTACTCCTCACAGAGTTACAGTTCCCAGCAACTCTTAACAAACTACAGTGCTCAGAATTCTTTGAGTGGGGGGGATGTGCTTTGAATGAATAGTATGTCAGAGAGAATGAAAAATACATGTTGCCATGGCTCTGAGGAAGTCCAGTATCAGTTATGGGAAAAGATTTCCTACAAAGAATGCTCTCAACACAAGCTGCATGTTTGTTTCCTTTTATAAAAAGTATTTGAAAGCAAACCATGATTGTTGCTGCAGATCCTCGCAGGCACTCTTCGTGCTTTTCTAGCTGGCTATAGGCACACCTTTTCCGTGGTCTCATGATGGTGGTCTTGTGGTAGGAGAGAAAGGGCTGGGCTGTTCGCTGCAGAGGCCCTTCAAAGAGTTATTTTTAAAGCTCAGTTTACCTGCCAATATTCTGCAAAGCAAAGCTCAGGCTTACCAGCTCACGAACTCACAAGAGGGAACAGCATATAAATATTAATTTCGGCTCAGACTTTCTTGCAGGGATGAGTCAGTGCTAAAAAGCAGAGGGGCTGGTGTGTGTGCTCACTTCTTCCCTCAAGTGGTAGGATCCAAACAGTGAGCTGGCAGCTGGAAAGAGATGCTTAAGACAAGGAATGCTCTCTCTTTCTGATGTACAGTGGTACCTCTGGATGCGATCGGGATCCATTCCAGAGCCCCGTTCGCATCCTGAAGTGAACGTAACACGTGACTGTGCGTCTGCGCATGCGTGGGTCACGTTTCCTCACTTCCGCACATGCGCGTGATGTAATTTTGAGCAACTGCGCATGTACGAGTGGCGAAACCCGGAAGTAACGCTCTCCGTTATTTCCGGGTCGCCGCAGAGCGCAACCCGAAAATATTCATTCCGAAGCTACTTTAACCCAAGGTATGACTGTACTTGTTTCTGCATTGATACACCTAGGGTAATACTGTTTAAGTTGTCTAATCAAAGCCACAGAGTTGTAAATGTTGATGGATCTCAACCAAAACTCTCTGCTGCCACGCTGCTTAGTCAGTGTAGCCAGGACGACTCAGGAACATAACTTGCTGAACGGTAACTTGATTTGTATTTGCTTTTATAATAAACAGAGTATAGCGCAGCTTTGTACAAGTTACTTCTATATACAGACACAATTCAAACTCCACACACCAATCTCTGAACTCCGACACCAGACTGCTGTGTCATGCTGCTTATAAGGGAAAACTTTTAGCCAATCAATAAATGACCTTTCTATCTCACCCTTTATACAATCATAGAATTGTAGAGTTGGAAGGGACCCGAAGGTTTCCTCCTGAAAGTCAGTTAATGATGTAGAAAGGTGCATCTCACAAGGTGTTGCAACCATTCCTCTCTCGTTGAAGAACAACTTTCCATTTCATGCTTTCCAGGTCTTATTCAGCTGACTCACTTCCTCTAAAGATCTGACTTTTTGGGATAATAAAAGCACCCTGGAAAGTGTGGGAGGGCACGTGCTTTGACACAACATCACCTAACCTTCCAGCTCAGAATGAATGCCCATTATAGACAGTGCCATCTAATCAGGATTAATTTTCATTAATTGTCTGGAGCACCTAGGATGAACCATATTATGTGCAGGCATAATATGGTGGGTCCTGAACGTTTCTTTTCAAGTGCGGTCTGCAGTGGACTATGTTTGAATTTAGAACTGAATGCAAGCCACACTGCCGATACACCTAGGCACTCATTTAAGGTCTCAGTCCCAGAAGCTTCCCAATCATCCCTTCGTAAACATCCCTTCGCAGTGTGGTGTAGTGGTTAAGAGCGGTGGACATGTTCAAAATAAGTGCAGGGACCCTTCCAAGTAGCTACAATGGCCAAATATGAACCTCCACATTGAAAGGTAATATGAATTTCATCACCAAAAGTTGGAGACAAATTCCC